TTGTGAGGTAAGAATAATTTAGAGATGCGGGGTATTGAACCTCGTACTTCTCGCAAGATAAGCAAACGCTCTACCATTTGAGCTACATCCCCATTTGTTAATTAAGATAGTAATTGTGGTAAGAAATTCAAATTTGATAAATACAAAATAATAAATAAAAATGAAAGAAAATAAGAAATTCCWKAAAATATCAAATCACCCTAGAATATATTGTTCATTTGTGAGGATAAAAATAATTTGGAGATGCGGGGTATCGGTTGCTGTACCTCTCGCATGCATAGCGAGCATTCTACCGTTTGAGCTACATCCCCATTTGTTAATAATGAGAGTAATTGTTATACTAAGTTAAAAATAGTAAATACGTATGAAAGAAAATAAGAAATTCCTGAAAAGAGCAAAACACCATAAAATATATTGGCGAGTTGTGAGGACAAAAATGATTTGGAAATGCATGTATCGAACCACGTACCTCTAACATGCAAAGCGGGAACTCTACTATTTGATATACATCCCCATTTCTTAACTATGATAGTAATCGTTATAATAAATTAAACCTAAAACAATTAAAAATAAAAAATAAAAATGAAACAAAGTCGGAAATTCCTGAAAAGGCCAAAACACCCTAAAATATATTGGTGAGTTGTGAGAATAAAAATAATTTGGAAATGCGGTGTATCGATCCTCGTACCTCTTGCAAGCAAAGCAAGCACTCTACCTTTTCAGTTACGTCCCCATTTGTAAATTATGATGGTAATTGTTGTAATAAATTTAACCGACAAAAATTTAAAATAATAAATGTATATGATAGAAAACAAGAAATTCCTGAAAAGATCAAAACACCTTAAAAAATATTGGTGAGTCGTGAAGATAAAAATAATTTGCAGATACGGGGTATAAATCCTCGTACCTCTTGCATGCAGAGTGGGCATTCTACCATTTGAGGAAAATGCCCATATGTTAATTGTGATGGAAATTGTTGTAGTAAATTAAAAATAATAAATAAATATGGAAGAAAATAAGAAATTCCGGAAAAAAGATCAAAATACCCTAAAATATATTGATGGMTTATGAGGATAAAAGTAATTTGGAGATGCGGGGTATCAAACCCCGTACCTCTAGCATGCAAAGCGAGCGCTCTACCATTTGACCTACATCCCCATTTGATTATTATAATAATAAATGTTGTAGACATTTAAAATAATAAATAAAAATGAAAGAAAATAAAAAATTCCAGAAAATATCAAAACACCCTAAAATATATTAGTGAGTGGTGAGGATAAAATTAAGTTGGAGATGCAGGGTATCGAACCCTGTACCTCTCGCATGCTAAGCGAGCACTCTACCGTTTGAGCTACATCCCCATTTGTTTATTAAGATAGCAATTGTTGTAATAAATTAATCTTAAAAATTAAAAATAATAAATAAATATGAAAGAAAATTAGAAATTCCTAACATGCAAAGCAAGCGCTCTACTGTTTGAGCTACGTCCCCGTTTGTTAAGTATGATAGTAATTGTTGTAATAAATTAAAATTAAAAATTAAAAATAATAAATAAATATTAAAGAAAATAAGAAATTCTAGAAAAGTTCAGAACACCTTAACATATGGTGAATTGTGAAGATAAAAATAATTTGGTTATGCGGGGTATCGGTTGCTGTACCTCTCGCATGCATAGCGAGCATTATACCGTTTGAGCTACATCCCCATTTGTTAATAATGAGAGTAATTATTATAATAAGTTATAAATAGTAAATACGTATGAAAGAAAATAAGAAATTGCTGAAAAGATCAAAACACCCTCAAATATATTGATGAGTTGTGAGGATAAAAATAATTTGGAAATGCGGGGTATCGAACCCCGTACCATTAACAYGCAAAGAGGGCACTCTACCGCTTGTGCTACATACCCATTTGTTAGTCATGATAGTAATTGTTGCAATACAATAAAATTAAAAAATTAAAAATAATAAATAAATATGAAAGAAAATAAGAAATTTATGAAAAATTATTAAAACACCCTACATTATATTGCTGAGTTGTGAGGTAAGAATAATTTAGAGAYGCGGGGTATTGAACCTCGTACTTCTCGCAAGCTAAGCAAGCGCTGTACCATTTGAGCTACATCCCCATTTGTTAATTAAGATAGTAATTGTTGTAATAAATTCAAATTTGATAAATACAAAATAATAAAWAAAAATGAAAGAAAATAAGAAATTCCTGAAAATATCAAATCACCCTAAAATATATTGTTCATTTGTGAGGATAAAAATAATTTCGAGATTTGCGGTATCGGTCGTTGTACCTCTCGCATGCATAGCGAGCATTCTACCATTTGAGCTATATCCCCATTTGTTAATAATGAGAGTAATTGTTGTAATAAGTTAAAAATAGTAAATACATATGAAAGAAAATAAGAAATTCCTGAAAAGATCAAAACACCCTGAAATATATTGATGAGTTGTGAGGATAAAAATAATTTGGAAATGCGGGGTATCGAACCCCGTACCTTTAACATGCAAAGCGGGCACTCTACCGTTTGTGTTACATACCCATTTGTTAGTTATGATAGTAATTGTTGCAATACAATAAAATTAAAAGTTATTAATAATAAACAAATATGAAAGAAAATAAGAAATTCTTGAAAATTATTAAAACACCCTAAATTATATTGTTGAGTTGTGAGGTAAAAGTAATTTAGAGATGTTGGCTATTGAACCTCGTACATCTCGCATGCCAAGCGAGCGTTGTTCCATTTGAGCTACATCCCCATTTTCTAATTAAGATAGTAATTGTTGTAATAAATTAAAATTTGATAAATTCAAAATAATAAATAAAAATGAAAGAAAATAAGAAATTCCTGAAAATATCAAATCACCCTAAAATATATTGTTAATTTGTGAGGATAAAAATAATTTCGAGATGCGGTGTACTGAAACCCATACCTCTCGCATGCAAAACAAGCGCTCTACCATTTAAGCTACTTCCCTATTTGTTAATTATGATAGTAATTGTTATAATAAATTAAAACTAAAAAAATTAAAAATAATAAAGAAAAATCAAAGAAAATAAGAAATTTTTAAAAAGATCAAAACACTCTAAAATATATTGGTGAATTGGGAGGATAAAAATAACTTTGAGATGCGGGGTATCGAAGATCGAAACTCTCGCATGCAAAGCGAGCGGTCTACTATATGAGCTACGTCCCCATTCGTTAATTAAGATAGTGATATTTGTAATAAATTAAGATTAAAAATTAAAAATATTAAATAAATATTAAAGAAAATGTTCTAAATTTAGGTTAACATGCATATTATTTAGTTTTTATGTATATATTTGTTATTTAATTTAAGATATTAAATAAAGTTTTATTTCTAAATAATACCTTACTTTATGATCCAACTTCTTTTGAAATAATTTGGGGAATATGAAGTTTGTTTTTCACATTCAATCTTATTTGAAAGCAAATATATTTGACAATTCTGTTTATAAAAATCCCTATTCATATGTAAATTTTCCTTAAAAATACTATTTATATGTAAACATATTTATTGCAAACAATTTGCAAGGATTTGACAATTTGTCCCGGTTTTAAATTACCATACTAAATATAGCACATGGGGTCACCATTAGACTTAATTTGGAAGGAGTATAAATACAAAAATGTACAGTACAAATTTATACAAAATAATCCAAAATATAAAGTTTTTCGCTCTACATATTTGTATTTGTACTCTCCTTCCAAATGGAGCTTTAAGAGAGGGTTTTGTACCGGTCATATGTATAAATGGAATGCATAACATTTAAATTGAGTATTTTATTTCAGTTAGGAAGTTGGATTAGCGAAGTTAGTTATGGGTTCCATGTTTTTTCATAGATAGCCACGTTTTTAAAAGTAACAAATATTTATTTGATGGGTATGTGTAAAAATGTGCAATTTCTTTGGAAGTGGAGTTTTGTATTTACACTTTTTTCTAAGAATGGGAACAACCACTTCTAAGATTTTATTTCTTGAATTAATAGGAAGCCACATGTTTGAGTAGAAGGGCTCTAGTTTGATCATAACCCTTTAGGCCCYGTTTGRTTCAYAATAGAGGTCTGGAATCGGAATCAGAATGGGCTATTCCCATTCCAATTGTTTGGTTGGGCAGAATCGGAATCTTATTCCCATTCCTACTAGACTGACATTCCCCCATTTGAGGGAATTGCCATTCCTTGCCCCTCCCTTGGGAATGAAATCCCTTTGTTATTGATTCCATTTCTCATTCCCATTTCTGTCTGAACCAAACAAACATTTCGATTTCAATTCCAAAGGATTTTGATTTCGATTCTGACCGTAAAACAAACGGTCTCTTAATATATATTAGATGTGTCAAAAACAACTATTTTTGTATAGGGTTCTGAATGGTGTCCAAAATCCAATTTTAAAATTGAGATTTGACATAATCAAATTGAATTAAGATAATTCAAAAATTATAATTGGTCAAATTTTATTAATGATGCTTAACTATTAAAATTGAATTCGGATGTGACCTAATTCAATTGGTTAAATATTCAAATCTGATTGATTATATAATTCACATAGACAATATATAAAATATTTAAGCATTTTCAGTAATTTATATATAACATTCAAACTTATATACTTTATATAAATAAAATATTTATAAGATATATATTAATTACCTAAAATAATTAATATGGTAAAATCGAATTGAGCAAGAATCTTTGAATATTTAATCGAATTCAAAACAAGCAAGAAGTTTGCCTGCTTCGAGAAAACAGGCTGGGCTGTACATGACAGTTGGCATGGTATGGGGTAAAATTGTAATTGCAATCAATATCTTTTCAATTAAAAGATGAACATAGCGTTAATGGGATAACGTGTCATGTGCAGGAAGATTTACAACAGCCTAAGCTCCTTTAAAACAGGAGAGGCTGTGTTTTCCAAACAGCCAACGTTACCTGACGTGAAGGAAAATATCCGCTGCTTAAAAACAAGAAAACCGCTGTTGTTCCGTAACACAAGGAATATCTCAGCAAGCAACCATGGCCGAAGAAGGAAGAGCAGACGCTCAGCTCTTTGGGCTTCTCTCCAATCTCCTTCAACAGGTACCTGGATCATTATGCATATCCTTCTATTTATTTTTCCTGTTTTTCTTTGCCTCTTCTAGTTGCAATTAGCGATTAGTCCTTTAGACCCTGAATTTTCCCCCAAAAATAACACTGACATTTTTCATTTCTGAGATGACCATTCCGGATCTCTCTCTCTCTCTCTCTCTCTCTCTCTCGTTTTGGGTATGTGGTTTGTGTGTTTAAATAGAAATTGAAGTGATGAGTTTTGCGTCAGAGCGGGGAGATCTACTTTTGTTATTTTTGGCAAAAGTTCTGTTCTGGGTATCCCAAACAAGATGCAGCCAGAGGTTTTTCAGAGGGAATTGAATGGTTCGACTACATTCAACGTTATATTTGTTTTTTTTTTTGGTAAATTCAGGAGAACGTTATATTTTCCTTGATTGTTGAATTGCTCGTTCGGACTTCATTTTGTCCTTGATTAGTCTTTTAGATTGTTGCTCCAAGAGATAAAGTCTGAAATCTATGCGTGCTTCTCTATATTAAATTAGATCTGTTAAGACTATATTGCTTTCATAATCGGGGTTAAAACTTAAATGCGGTGACATAACTACTGCAGAACCAAACCACGCATAGCCAGACACGTAATTGGGGGCATGGAATGGACTACTGGCAATCAATGGGATGCGGTTTCTTTTTAACTCTATTCATTCCAATGGACAATTAGGGAGTTCTGTAGGGATTGAGTAGGATCATGATTAATTCTCTGCTGGTTTGAGACGTCGAGAGTCTTGGGGTGGATGAAATGAATAACATGCTTTTTGAATATCCTTATCATTCTTGTTGTAGTGGCATTGTCTTAGATGGTGTTCATTTGGTCATACATTAGCATCATGGACCAATTTATTATGATATGGGGATGAGAATTGATGTTAGAATCTCTTAGTTCAAGTGAAGGCTGTATTGCTCCATAAAGAATACACAGTTAAAAATAAATGAGAAAACTAAGGCTGCATTTGGATAGAATGCTGCTCAGCAGAATCGCTATTCAAAGGATCTTTTTGAGTTGAAAATGATCCCTTTTTATCAATAAAGCACTAGGTTTTCTAAATCACTTCTGAAAATGACTTTGAACTGATAAAAGGAATTAGATATTGGAATTTCACATATCCAAACTCTTTTTTTTTTTTTTTGAAAGGTAAATGATAATTTTATTAATAAGGGAAGAGCAAGGGGGAGAGGTTCCTACCCAGGGTAATGAGGAGATAAAAGGGGAACTAAATCCCTGAAGAGATAGTCAGAGCATTACATGGCAAAATTATTGCCTCATACAATCTCCCCCCCCATTGTCTACAAAAATCAGCAAATATAAGACCTTTAAATTTCTACGATACAGTTGCCCAATGCACCAGAAGCCTCTCCATCTTTCCAAAAACCTCCTCAATTGAAGCTGATTTTTCCTGAAGGCTTAGTTTGGAAAGAGTACCAGATGCAAATATGTACAGTGCAAATACATACAAAATACAAGGCTTTGCACTCTACATATTTGTATTTGTACTCCTTCCAAACTGAGAAAGAGTACAGATACAAATATGTACAGTGCAAATAAATACAAAATACAAGGCTTTACACTTTACATATTTGTATTTGTACTCCTTCCAAACTGAGAAGGCTCAGTTTGGGAAGAATGCAAATAGAAGTATGCACAGTGAAAATACAAGATTTAGAAATACCATATGCAAGGTTTTGCACTGAACATTCCGCTGAAAGGACTGTCATTCTTCTCCCTCTATACACACCAACATAAGGCTATAGGAACCATATGCTAAAGGAACTTCCCCAGTTCCCCCTAGCACTGAAAGGGATTGCTTGCCAAGAGGCCACTAGGTTCACAATGCCTGGGGGAGTGGCCCACTGAACACCAAACAGAGACAACATGTGCCCTCACGCCTTATAGGTGAAACTGCAATGGATCAAAAGGTGATTTATAGACTCCTTAACTTCTTGACACAAGCAGCATCTGTATATAACTTACATCCCTTTGGATTTTAAGCTGTCAATGGTCGAAATTCTTCCTTTGAGGGTGGTCCATAAGAAGAAGATAGCCTTAGATGGAACTTTTTGCCCCCAAATCCAAAACCAGTGAACTCTCACTCCATCATCTGGACTCAGATTAAGAGCTAAAGATTTGACAGTGAAAGTTCCAGAATTGGTACCTTTCCACCACAAAGGATCCTGATTAGACAGCTGAAGTTGAATCTGATTTAAATTACCCAATAACAAAGCTACAGGGTCAAACAACAAGTTGTCCACATTTCTTTTCAACTGTGGGCTCCAAACTATTTGACCACCAATCACCTCATAGCAATCCTTAACAGTTGCAACTTGTCCTGAGCAATAGCAAAGATATGAGGAAAAACTAATTCCAGAGGTGCTTCACCATACCACTTGTCCTTCCAAAAGTAAATGCGCTCTCCATGTCCTAATTTGAAGGAGACCAAATAAACAATTAGCTCTCTATTTTTCATAATTCCTGACCACAGGCCCAAACCATAAGAGCTGTCAACGGGATTAGTTTCCCAGCCCAAGCCTGCCTCCCCATATTTTTTTGCAATTTAGCTTTCTCCTAGCCTGCCTCCCCATATTTTTAAAGGCTGAATACCAACACCTCCAAGCTTAAAAACTGTTTCTTAGAAATCCAAAAGTTCACTGGCATTGATTCTATGGAAGCATGCCAAACTCCACCTAAGTAACCTTTTCTAGATTATTGTAAGTTTAAAAACCATAAGTGAAAAATTAAACTAACTAGAATATATTGTGAAAAGTAATCATGTCAATCTCAATTTTACAAATATAAAGATTTATTCTCTTCTACAGTCCTGAACTAACCACTCTTTTTTTTTTTCTGATCAATAAATAAAAGAAGATCTAATTAAAGCCAAACTTGAAGAGTACAATGAGGTGGATTATTCTCCACCCCAAACAACAAATTCACAGCTTTGTCCAAAACATTTGATGTCTAACATCTCCTTGTTTATGTAGAATATCCGCCATCCCATTTTCTGGTCTTCTCATCCATTTAAAAGGAACAGTCAACTCCCTTATAATACTTTCAATTTCCCGAACTGTGTGCCTATAGATCCATGGGGTTTGGGTACTGCATATTGTCCAAGAAATGACCACCTGAGAATCCCCTTTCACATCCAAGTTGTGGAATCCAAATTGCTTAGCAAATTTTAATACATGTAGTAATCCAAATAGTTCTGTGAATGCATTTCCGTGCTCTAATGGTTCTGAATACAAAGCGGAACCTTTCCTTCTGAATCTCGAAATAGACCTCCTAACCCAGCCACAGCTTGATTATCAATAAAACTTCCATCAAAGTTAAGTTTTATAAAGTTGGTTGCTGGGGTTCTCCAGTCCATGATTGGTTCTTTCCTTTTCTTGGGTCGAAAGTTCGACTTCTTTCCAAGTTCTCAGAATGCCATTCAGTGAGAAAACTTGGAAGGCTTCTAGAGTCTTCATCCAGTGTGTGACTTTAATTTTTACTGTCTATGATTTCCACCTTTGGCCTACTCTTTTTGTTGAAAATTCTCCCATTTCTTTCTTTCCATACAATCCATATCATAGCCACCTTCATTGTTTTCCACAATAACCTTCTCCTTTTCTTTGGCTGTCTCAAGAAGTTTGGGTCAAAGAGACCCACCACATCCTAAGGTGGAGTCCCCATGCACCCAAAGAGAGAACAAAGATGCCCCCAAATACAAAGCAAAAAATGACAAGATAAAAAGATATGGTAAATAGTTTCACCATTGTCTTTACAGAGGATGCACATGTGAGGGGAAAGGCACTTATTTGGCCTTCTTTTATGCAGCACATCACAGGTGTTAATCTTTCACTAGGAATTTCACCCCCAAGTTAGTAGGCTATATTAAGGAATTAAAGAATGAAGAACAGGTAAAAAAGCCAACTAGAGAAATTGACTAAACCCTAGTCTCCTCTACATTTTGATCCAAAAAGATTGAATCGAGTCTGGCCAGTAGATGGATGAGAGATTCAATTTCACCACAAGCACATAGCTGATATCTCATGTAAAATTGATATTATTAATTATTTGTGCGAGCCATTGCTTGGTGCAATTGTAAAATCTTGGGTTGACAAATGTGAAAATGCATGTTTGGGTCTGAGAGCGGCGACTTTGTGCAATAGATGCCCAAGGTCAGGTCCATATTGAGTTCACCCCTCTCAAGATCCTGGATAATTGTGACCAGCATTGTGCAATGATTTTTTCCCCAGAAGTGGTATTGGTGAATAGGGATGAGTTGTATCAGGTTCCTGTCCAAGGGTGTAGGGTGTAGATGATCTTCTACATATTGGTTCATTCTTTATTGGGGGTTATTGCTTGCTCTTATCCTGGTAACTGATTCTTCTTGTACTTATCTTTTATCTAATTTGATAAGATTATGCATTGATCTGTTTCTGATTGGAAAAAATGGTAAATTACATATAGGTACCCTGTACTTTGGGGGTAGTGACACTTAAGGGCCTGAACTTTCAAGTGCGACATTTTAGTATCCTGAACTTTTAAAAATATACACTTAAGTCCAACTCTGTTAAAATTAACATTACAGTGAGGATAAAATTATAAAAATACTCATATTTGGATTTTCTTTTTTTTTTTTTTTAAATGCTCTTCATTGTTCCATTCAAATGCTTTTATTCTTTATTGAAAAGAAGTATAGAGATACAAATGGAAAAAAGAGTAAAATAAAAGTTCAGTGAGAAAAAGAGAATCTAAACATGGTCATATTTGTATTTTTGCTCTCATTGTAATGTTAGTTTTAACAGAGTTGGACTTAAGTATATATTTCTAAAAGTTCAGTGTGCTAAAATGTCCCACTTAAAAGTTCAGGCCCTTCTGTGTCACTACCCCCAAAGTACAAGGTACCTATTTGCATCTTACCCCAATAAAAAGATGGAAGGGTAGATGTGAAAGTAAAAATTGAGTAACATGAAGGTGAATCTTAATTCAAAATAAT